ACAGCATACCACAGCACTCCAGCCTGGGCAAAAAGAGTTTGCCTCAGTCTCAAAAAAAAATAATAATAATAATAAAATAATAATAAAATAATAAAATAAACCAAGTCAAATAAAATAATCCTTAAAGATAAAATTTTCCTTCCATATGGCAGGGAAAAAAGCTTATCTAGTAGGTAGTGGAGCTGAAATTCAAATATAGGTCTGGCTGATTTCATAGTTTCATACTTCTCTCATAACAATAGGATGTCAAAATCATGGATTTTCCCATTACTAAAATTATAATCAGTATGATGTTTTAGATTGGTAAAAAAATTAGTCTCTGAAAATTGTTCATCCTTATATAGTTTTTGTTTGGATATTAATACTAGTACTAAGAGCTAGCACTTACGAAGAGCTAACTGCACTTCAGGCACTTTGTGTGAATTGCCTCATTTCATTCTGTCAATAGCCTTATGAGATATGTAATATCATTTTCATAACTTCCCAAATAGGGAAAGTCTAGCTTAGTAAATTAAACAAATTTATGTTGCTAGTAAATCACCCAAGCCTCTCTGACTTTTTTGCATTAAGAATCCAGGTTGTCATTGTGGAAGACAGTGTGGCGATTCCTCAAGGACCTAGACATAGAAATTCCATTTGACCCAGCAATCTCATTACTGGGTATATATCCAAAGGATTATAAATCGTTCTACTATAAGGACATGTGCACATGAATGTTCACTACAGCACTGTTTACAATCGCAAAGACCTGGAACCAACCCAAATGCCCATCGATGATAGACTGGACAGGGAAAATGTGGCACATATACATCATGGAATACTATGCAGCCATCAAAAACGATGAGCTCTTGTCCTTAGTAGGGACATGGATGAACCTGGAAACCATCATTCTCAGCAAACTGACAGAAGAGCAGAAGATCAAACACCGCATGTTCTCACTCATAGGTGGGTGTTGAACAATGAGAACACATGGACACAGGGAGGGGAGCATCACACACTGGGGTCTGTAGGGGGGAAATAGGGGAGGGACAGTGTGGGGTGGGGAGTTAGGGAGAGATAGCATGGGGAGAAGTGCCAGATGTAGGTGATGGGGAGGAAGGCAGCAAATCACACTGCCGTGTGTAGCTATGCAACAATTTTGCATGTTCTTCACATGTACCCCAAAACCTAAAATGCAATTTTAAAAAGTGCTTTAAAAACCAATAAATCAGATATGAAAAAATAACAAAATAAAATAAAATCTACTCATTTTGCAAACAAAAAAAAAGAATCCAGGTTGTGACCAATTTATATTTACTCTTAGAGAACAATACTGCTCATTTAACAAAAATGTGTTATTGTTACAATACTCAGAATATTCAGGACATTACTGTTATTTGCCCTTTGTCCTTCTAGGAAAGAGCTGCACTTTTCCTAGCTGCAGAAAAGTATTATTATTATTTTGAAATGGAGTATTGCCCTGTCACCAGGTTGGAGTGCAGTGGTGCAATCTCGGCTCACTGCAACCTCCGCCTCCTGGGTTCAAACGATTCTTCCGCCTCAGCCTCCCAAGTAGCTGGGACCACAGGCACGTGCCACCACACCCAGCTAATTTTTTGTATTTTTAGTAGAGACAGGGTTTCACTGTATTGGCCAGGATGGTCTCGATCTCTTGACCTTGTGATCTGCCCACCTCGGCCTCACAAAGTGCTGGGATTACAGGTGTAAGCCACCGGGCCTGGCCAGAAAAGTATTTTAAAGACAAAGGGAAACTGAAACATAAGAAGTATATTTTTAAAAAATAACAAAACACAAAGCCCAACGCAGTGCCCAAGCAACACTCTGTACAGAAAGATCTGTTCTAAAATTTTAACTGAGTGGCTCTACAAATAATTATCATCTATAGAGAAAAAAATCCATATGAACAGAGCTATAGTCAGGGACAGAATTAATATGCAAGTCAGCTATTCACCTAGTGGCATATACAAAATATGACTTTCTATCCTTGATTAAACAGGCTCTCTTTAAACCAAGCCCTGCATTTTAATTGTAAATATTCTTGTAATAACAGTGTAAAACCACCCCTGATAACACACAGCAGTTAGTGATGATGCCAGGCACTTCCCAGGGCCAGTCTTCATGAGCTACAAATACCAAAGCAACAGTAACAAAAACAAGCAAACAAACAAAAAAGGCGCATGTTCAGATAATAGAGCATCCTCTATTAAATAAACACAAAAACTACCAAATTACAGGAAAAAACAAGTGTTTGTTACAACATAGTTGGATGGGAAGTTTTTAAAATGATCCTTTGTTATTACTTTAAATAATAAGTGAATGTTTTGAGATCACCATTTGTTGGCAACTTTTAACGCTGTGGCTCAAAGTCTTTTAAAATTTTGAAATGTTATCTAGGAAGTCTCAATCTTAGGCTAAGCAGGAACATAAAGAAAGTTGCTGAGGCCAGTAATATTCAAACATGAGCTCACTGCATCAATGCAATTTCACTCCGAAAGGAACTGGCTTTTTTGGCAAGAAAAAGAATGAAAGGGTCAGGGTACAGAGAAGACTTGAATAGAGCTCCTAAAAACACAGTAGCAATTTTATTTTGGTCTGTATTTGAGCTCACATAAAGAAAGTTCCTTTGATTATGTGAGACTTGCAAGTAACTGGAGACTTCTGCAACCCTTGCAAGTGAATTGGCTTAGAGACTAGTTCTAACAAGTAGTCAGATGGAGAAAGATAAAATAGATGGATGAAAAATAAAAGGGAACCTGAAATTTAAATTTCACAAATTTGTATTCCTTGGCAAGGATAGCTACATGCTCTTGGTGCATTGTTATTTTTAGACAAAAAGAGTGATTCAGAATATTGTAGATAAATCAATATCATGACTGATTGAAAGGAGTTTTCCCACACATGGAGATTGGCTAGTGGCAAAGTGCTGATGTTGAAGTTTGGGCAGCCAGTTTTGACTAAATGGTAAACTCTCAAGATGTGGAGGGATATTGAGATTCACCGTAACTTCAACCTGGTGCCCTAGAAAAGGCAGAACTTCTGGACCCTGGAAGAACAATATACATACACATCTAGAGGTAGAACTCTTGCCAAGGGCTCCATCTCAAGTGCCCTGGAACATTTTTTTCCACATACTTGCATGTGGAGCCAGAGTCTCAATTTCTGCAGCTGCAAATTGGTAAGTTGTTCAGACTGTCATCCTTAGCTCCTATGATTGCTCAGGGAGGTGATGAAATAAATTAACTGTAATGAATTGCATTAGCGTCTAAGGAATGAAAAACATGTGCTTGTTACATGTTTTTTCCTTTGTGTTTCTATTCAAACAAATAAGCACTCTCCAAACATTCATTATTTACCATAATCCATTGAGATTATGCTAAGGGTATAATTTTATTTGTTAAATTTAGGATCTTAAGACATTATATAATTTGTCCAAGGCCATGATTTTGTCTTTGGGAGAACCCAAAATGCAAGCTTCTGTATTCTTCTTCTAATACTCTTTACAACGTAAATATCACATGCTGGTTGGGATCCAGCTAGGTCTCCAAAAACAGACAAGAATAAGTCCAATTCTTGTCCAATTGAAGCAATTGTGTCCATTGCTTCTAGTCAAAGACTCAGTAACTCTTTGACTAGAAGTAATGTATACAATCTCTTTAAATTAGAAGATTAACTGGTACACACTATTATTTTTCTCATCTTGCAGATAATGAAACAAAAAATGTGATGGCTAACACAGTGTCTGGCACAGTGCAGTAGTAATCAGTAATCATCAAGTTCTTACAGAGTGGATGCCGTCATTAGCTCTTACAACAGATTAGAAAAAGAATCCCCGAGCCAGGTTACATCAGTCACTAACAAGCATTCCATTTATCAATGTACCTATTAGTAACAAGATTCTTGAAGAAGTCCTTCATGTTTTGTTTTTGCTGTTGTTGTTGTTTGTTGTTATTGTTGATTTTGGGAATAAGTCTCGTTGTGTCACCCAGGATGGAGGGTAGTGGCCCAATCTTGGCTCACTGCAAACTATACCTTCCAGGTTCAAGTGATTCTTGTGCCTCAGCCTCAGCCTTGGCCTCTGAATGTGCATGTATTTTGACTCAAATCTTCTTAACGTCTATATAAACCAGAGGCATTCCCATTTTACAGGTAAAGTCTGAGAGAGACCACTGCACACCTGCAATCCAGTATTTTGGGAGACCGAGTTGGGAGATCGCTTGAGGCCAGGAGTTTGAGACCAGCTTGATAAATACAGTAAAACCCTGTATCTACAAAATTAAAA